GCTGCCCGCTGCCCCTGCCCCTGCATGGCGGGGACCTGCTGGGGCAGCTCCGAGGCCGGAGGTCTCCGGCAAAGCCGCCGTGAGCTGGGCCGAGGCGCGGGCTAGAGCCCTGGCGTGGCTTCTGCATATGCTGTTCCCCCACCGTAAGCATGGGAGGGTGTGCGGCACCCTGCTCTCACCGCCTGTGCCGGCAGCCCTAACAGATCCTGAGCTGAGCTCACGTGCTTCTCGGCCAGTTTCGTTTGCAGGCAGGTACGTGGACGGGCAAAGTCTGTACTTGAAAACACATTGGAGGCACACGTAAATAACCTGAAGCAGATATTGGTTCCCGTAGCAGGGGCCTTGAAAGAGCAGTTGGAAGAATTTGTTCTTGAAAGGTCAAAGAACAGCTCAATTCAGGCTGCTGCTGAATGTTCTCATCTGTACAAAGCCGTGGTGGTCAAAGGTTGTGCCTAGGTCTTGTCACTTCTGCGCTGCCCGTATAGCTCACACATGCAATTACTTGAATTAGTTCATCAGTTTAAACCCTTCAAATGAACACAGTTTGGCTGAGGAGCCCTTGTATGCTCTGCTCAGTGTCTGTAATCTCTTCCTGCTGCTCTGTTCTTCTCACCATTTGTGTTCAGGTCACCCTGAAGCAGCACAGCTTCGCCCATTTGTTTCAGCATGTGTGTGAGAAGCACACTGAACTGTTCCATACTCTTTTAGGACAAAAGACCTGGCTGGCCACTGATCACCTTGGAGTCTTAAGTACTCTGACCAGTTTTCTAGTACAGACCGGGCAATATTTAATGTGTACATAGGTAAAAAAGTGCACACAAGTCTGACAAATCTTTGTTTCCTTCCATCAAGTTTGCAGTCCCTTTATTCAGACAGCCAGATGTTACGCCAGACCTGTGAGAAGAAAGAGGAAAGGTATGTCAGGATGAATGGGATGAAGTGGCAAAATGTTTTACTGTTGATATTATCAGAGTTGTACCCTAATGCTGCAGGAAGAGAGGGTATTTGGAGACATTAGTGGTTTTCACTTTCGTGATGAGCTTTGTGACTTTAGAAGAGAGAGAGGAAATATGATCCCCGTTGCAGAATTCTGTAATCCTGCAACTTCTTGATGGGTAATCACAAGGGTGGGGGAGCCAGACTCTTGGTAGTGCCAAACGGTATAATGAGGGGCAGTGGTCCCAAATAGCAGCTCAGAGATGTTTTGGCTGGACACAAAAGGAAAAAGGATTCCCTGGGAAGGCAGTGCAGCTTCACAGGGGGGCTCTGGAATCTCCATCCTTGGAGATTTTCGAGGCTTTGATAGACAAAGAAATGGTGACAGTCCCACTTTAAGGGGGAGATTGGACTAGAAACTTCATAAGGTCCTTTTGTAAACCTTTTTGTGGTTCTGTGCTTCTAGAAATAGTTCCTTGCAAGCTCAAAAGTTACTTAGAAAATTCAGCCGCTCATGAGCATGTGGGAAATTAGCAATTGTCTGCAGCACTTTAGCCCACTGATCTCAGCGGGCGATACACCATGTTGTAAATCCAGAGTGCTGAAGGTGAGAGACTGGACCCAATTTTAGTCACTCAATTCCTGGCACTTCAGCTTGTTCTCTGAAATTCTTCCTTCTTATATGGAGCATGCAGTCTGTTTTCTTTGCAGCTTGTTTCCTCTGATCTAATTTGCAAGCATGTTCCAAGCTCTGACTTTGTACTGCTCTTCCTCAAATGTTAATCTTCTCTTTGTAGACATCCCCAGCCATTTGGATGATCTTCCTCCCACAATGTTGAAGAAAGATTATGCCAATGTCCCAATAATAAATAGGTATGATACAGGGAAAGGGAGCGACCGTTCTCTTCAGACATTTGTATCTTAGATGCACACAACCGAAATATGCAGAAGCTGTCACCTGTTTGGTAATTAATGAATGTTGTGATCACTGGTATGCAGTTTAGCACAAAAATTGCAAAGTCCTTTTGAAAGTCAAATTTGCAAAAGCAGCCACTGATTAGGGATATGTAAGGTTTTTGTTTACTGAATGTAAGATTAAGATTTAAGTGTTGGTTGCTCACATCTTCTGTGGACTTCATAGTCCATAGAAAAAAGAAATAATCTTGAAATACTAGAAATAACCTTCAAAGAAACAATCTATGCCTGTCTTGAACTCAGGTGCTAGATACTGTGTAGTTAAACAACTCAAAATGAATGTCTGCTTCTGAAATTTGGACCTGGAGTTTATCGGTTTTATGTTCTGATTCCAGAACTGCTCATGTGTGGTGCATGGAGAGCCCCCAGTGGTGCAATTGAGACTTTCACAGATCTTTGAAGGAGCCAGTCTTAAAATTAATTCTTTTGTCCTTGCACGCTTACCTGGGGGTTAATCTTCAGCACCCAGTTTGCAGGTAATGTTTTTGGAATTGATAAGACTTGAACTGTGCTTCCCACAGCAGCAAAACTACTCGATGCTTCTGCAATCGCAGCCATAATTTTCCTTAAGAATGCAAGAAACGGTGTACGGCTGACAGGTTTGGGAGAGGAGGAGAGTTGCTGTAAACTTGTGGAATAAAAGTTGAGAAAAGTTAATATGTTCTGAAAACCTAACCTCATTTCTGTTGTTAAATATACTTAATTTCTAGTTTATAAACTAATCTGCAATCTCTTTGCAGTGTTGACGATGTAGTGAGAAGACTGTTGTCACTGGAAATGGCAAGCCAGGTTAGTTTCATTCTACTTGCATAAAAAACTAGAGGATTTAGTGAGCACATTTGTGTAAGACGTCTATATTGTTAAATACCCTTCACTTACTTTATTTTTAAGTGTTGCTCGGTAACTGCAAATCTAAGGCTATGAAATACATGAGAGTGATAAGTCTTGTATGCTCTTAAAATTTATCATGCAGTCATCTTTATGATAATAATTGCATACTAAAATGAGAGAATATTAGGCAATCACAGGGGAGGTGAGCTGTGTTATGTTACTGTTGATGGTTGGCCTGCGTTCCAGAAAATAGTACACTGGACAGCAGATGTTCTTCAAATTACTTGTACTTTTTGTATGCCCAGAAAATGAAGTCAGCAAATCGTAAGGTAGCAGAAAGATCTTGCCATTTCTTGCTGCTTACCACTTGAGCTTAAAAAGATGCGAAAAGTAAAGGCTGGTGCCATGTGAGATCAGCTTCAGTTCTCTCTTCCATTCCCGAGAGCAGCAGGGCCTCTTAACACCCTTCTTCACCCTTCAACACCCAACACCATCTTGGGAAGAAGGATGTGCCTGGACTCTCGGTTAGAACAGTGGCGATGCTCTGCTCTGCTCTGCTGAGATCTTTTTGTGCTTCTTCACTGCTGTACTCTGAGCACTGTCCTGCAAGGAGCAGCTCCTTTGTTGCAGCGCTTTTTACACATTTTATGATGGATACTGAGTAAAGCTATTAATTACAAAGCCTTTATCTGAGCATTTGGGAAGAAAGTTGGGGTGTCTCAGACCTTTAGTGTCCCTGAGAAAGCGACAAGCTCTTTTCTGTTATCTGCAGAAGGAGAAGATGAAAATAAAGACACAGCAGCTGGTGGAGAAGGTCAGGAGGTCTCCCAACGACAATGGCTCCTTTGAGGTGCAAGGTAAGTTAAAAAGTAGAAGGACATTGTTGGCAGATTATACACCTCTGCTTTTATTCAGCTATTGCCACCCCAGCACTTCAAGTTTCCTGTATCGGTTAGGAGAAGCTCCTTCAGAAGAGCACCCGAGAGGCAGGTAGCCTGCAGTGTGCCCTGGAGGACCTGTTCAGGGTTTGGGAACGCTGCAGAGGCAGCGCATGCACTTACTGGCAGATGTCCGCTAGGGTGCTTTCCAAATTCCTACTCCATATCCGCCCTCCAAAGTCAGCACATGCACTGTTCTGCTTGAAGTGCTTATATGACATGAAGCATTGCACTGCATTCATTACCAGAATGAACTAGATTTAGCCATGGAACCCAAATTTCCCTCTGCATCAGAGAGCTCTGGCTGAAGCACAGTGTAGGGACAGTGCAGGATGAAGGCCATGCTGCCATTGACCACGATGCACTCCTTTATCATTAATAAAGGCCTTCAGTTTCTCAGCAGCTTTCTCCAAAGCCTGAAATCACAAAGAGCAGGCTGCTGCTCTTAGAAGAAAACTCTTAATTTTGTCTGGTCCTCCAAAGCTTAAAGCAAGTGAAGTGAAATGAGTGGTGAAATGAATGTCAAGTCACCAGTAATTAAGTGAGTGCAAGAGGCATTTTACAGATAAATTCATATGATCTGTTATTACAATTTTAACCTCTAATTAAACAGCTTCATAACAGCAATAGTTCTGACTCGGGTTATGTAGGTTGTGTTTTGTGGTTTGTTTTGCACTCGTTCAGAGGGCTATGCAGTAATATTTGCTGTGGTGCAGTGGGTACCCATAAGAACAGCAGTCCTCAACTGGCAATTTGACGGGAATGCAAATGATACCCTGGAAAGCTGCCGCTCTCACTCAGCTTCCTCTTTCTGTTCTTTATAGTTGCTGTGTTGACTGCCAAGATACGGACTTATGAGGAACATCTTCAGAGGCATCCCAAGGTAACTATCAGTAATCGGAGCCCACACGTCTGAGACAGCAGCTGCTCGTGTTGTTTTCTCAGTTTAGAACAAAAGGATTTTAATTCTGGGGATTATGGCTTTCCTAAGAAGGTTTATAAAATAGTTATAACTGTCCCCTGGTGCCAGTCTGGGAAACTTCTAGCTCAGTCACAGCTGCGTTCTCACCAACTGAAATATGGAGCGTGTTCTTTTTTGTTACAGGATTGGTGGAAATGGCTGAGCAGATACCTTTGAATGGAGGTTAACTAAATTTATCCTTGCTGCAGATGTGGCTTCACTGCTTAGTTTTCAATGTAATTACTGTTATCACTTCAGCAGCTGTATTCTCTCTTTGTTCTGCCGATGAAAATGCTTAGCAGGCAGGACTGTGTTAATGTCATAATGATCACTTTCCTACCTAAAGCTACCTGGCTTCAGAGCCCAAATTCGAAACATCAGAACTATGAATTTATGAACAATATCTATTAAAGACTATATAGTGCAAAAGGTGGGAAGTGGATTCATCAACTGCATTTGAAAAAAAAGTGCATAATTATTTGTTAATCATAAAAGTTTGAATGGTAAAACAGAATAGAATTCAGTTTTTATAAGAAGTCAGAAGTTGTACCAAATGTTTCAGCAGTAGAGACCTTTTGAAATTACTTGGATGAAACCTGCTTTTTACGCAAATTGCTTGTACAGGATAGGGAATTTCTCCCATGAGGGATTGCCCTGAATGGCATGGCTTGAGCTACGCATATTCTCTTTCAAAGAACAACCCAAACGGTCAGATAGAGCCAAGTCACATTTTATTTTCACATTTAATTTCTGGAAAAACAAAGGTAAATGCTTCTGTGTTATTTCTAGAATAATACATTTCAGGGGAAGCAGAGTTTTTAGCCAGTAGACCTTCCCTACAGCCTTTGCCTCCAAGCCAATGCAGCTTTTGCCACTGCCTGAAACTGCATACAAGTTGAAAACAGCCTTCAGGGTTGGGGGAGGAAGGTGCAGACACAGAATGAAGAAAGCAATTTCAGTGAAAAGTAAATTAAGTCTTCTCAGATCTCCTTGTAGTGACCTAATGTGCTTGCAGTATCTGCCAAGAAAAATTGTTCTAAGATACTGTCCTTAACCTGATTGTTTCCTTTCAGCCATAATCTAGTCTATTCTAAGTAATTTATTGGAATGGAAGTATAATCTGTCTGCAATCTAGTGAATGTTAAGTCCTTTGCAGGATAAAAGTAACCGCCGTCGCATGCTGATGGATATGGATCGCCGGAAGAAACTACTGGCATATCTTCGCCGTGTCCGCTATGATACCTTTGAAAACACCTGCAAGCAGCTGAATATCCAGTACACCCTACCCCCTCCCTACTCCAGAAGGGTCACCAAGCGCTGGGTTGTGAAGAAGGCTTTCTGTCTCAAGGTATGGAGCAGTCTGGAGAGGGGCACATAGCTGGAGTAGGAAAAATTCCCTTTTTTCAATTTAGACAGTTAGTTAGAGACAATTAAGACAGTTAGAAAAGACTGATAGTAAGTCCTTTTAATCCGTGCTTTGACTCTGATGATTCAAGACAGTGATAATGTCTGTAGAGAAATGCACAAGCTCGGCAAAGAGCTCCATGAAAGACAGTTATGTAGTGGGCAGTGAGGCATGTGCTGCGCTTGAGAACTTCAGATTGTGCTACTAGTTTGCTCAGAAAGGTATGATTCAAACGAGCTTTTTTTCAAAGCCTGGTATGGGAACTAATATGTGAGACAATTATATTTGATGGTAGCTTTGGAACAGAAATGTGGATACACCCACTGTCTACTTTAACTTGCTCAAAATACATTGGTGTGCAATATCTCTCGCTATAACTGAGCAGAATCAAAAAGCTGGATGTGACTTCAGTCTGTAAATACTAAACTTCAGTCCAGTGAAATTATAACCAAAAAACTGGGTAGCTAGAACAGAATACCTCCGAATCATACCCTGAAAGCAGGGCTGGCTAGAGTCGTGGAGGAGGCACACGGGAGGGAGTTGATCTTGCTGCACGGCATGTCTCCTGGCCTCTGCTACAGGAGCTCGGCTCCGTGCTGCAGCAGGCAGTAGTGGTGGAGCGGCTCTGCTCAGCAGCAGGAAGCTTTGTCTCTCCCCTTCTCTCACCTCCTCATGCTCCTCCTGCAGGTTTTTCAGGAGGTGCGGAAGCTGAAAGCCTCAGAGAGGCTAAAGCAGAGAGCAGAGTGGCGAGAGAGAGCAAGAGCGAGAGCTGCCAAGGAGAAAGAGGCGCAGTGTGAGGGGACACCCGTGTAAGTGGCACGTTGAGGCTGACGCAGCCGCTTTCTGACAATAAATGACCACCTGAAGACATGTTGCCTCTTTGCTTCTGTGCATGCGTTGTCTGCGCCATGGTGAGCACCCGGAAAAGTGCAACGAGCGTTTTAAGTGTTTTAGAAGTTTCATTTAAGGCTAGTGTGCTGGGCCGTGGTGTGAACAATTCGATCTGTGCAAGAGGAGGACCTGGGGGGGCTGCAGCCCCTTGGGCAGGGACGTCTCCAAGTGAGAGCAGCCCCGAGCAGCGCCAGCACTGTCCCTCTCCTGTCACCCCCTGGCCTGCTGGTAGGATCGCGCTGTCAGATAGCATTGACCCAGCTGCTCGCTGGGGACTTGGGCTGCGGGATGACAAATGAGGAGAGAGAATGAGGCGAAATGCTGCTGATTTGGAAACAAAGCAGCCCTGACAGTAGCTCAAAGTGCCTTTCCTCCTCACAGGAAGATGTGTGTCGATTCGGAGCTCTGCAGCTGTAGAAATCGGGTTAATAATCAAGTCTGTGATTTGCCAGCAGACTTACACATTTATATTCGTTCTCTGGCCATCATCCCTCCATCCCTCTCCAACTTGGCGACTTTGTGTGTTACACCGAAAACCCCAACGGTGGTTTCTCACGGAGGATCACCAGTACGCTCCCCCGGCGCGTGCTGCCCACCCGTCTATGGCTTCCAGCAAAGCCCCCCCGGTTCCCCT